CCGCTATACTTCCGATGGTCTCGAATTCGATTCCGCGCACGTTACAAATATTGCTCTGCATGTTTGTATATATATATTTCTGTATTTACAAAAAAATGTATATAAAAATATCTATCTAGTCTAGTACCCATAATAGATCTGCTTAGTTTGGGACTAGATGGCGCTGTGTTAAATGTCCAGGGATCTTATTATTACCGTAATATAATTTGATTAACTATATTCAAATTTGGCTGGTTGCCTGCATTAATTCATGTATTTCTATTTCAGCAAAAATAGGTGAGACAGAGGTAAATGACTTTCTACAGAGACTATTTTGGTCGAACCAATTATTTAAAAAAGTATTGTATGATTTTTTTTAATTATTAGAATAGAAAACAGGTTTGAAAGAAGCTGTTGAAAACCCTTTCAAGGTGATAGATACCAGGCTTCCCACTCCGGACCTTTAATGAATGTTTAGCAATCTAATCAATTAATAAGTAATGTCAGTAATCATGATTACTATTACTTTTTAATCAGGACCAATTTCATCATAATTGAAACGAAAAAAAAATCGATTACTCGATACAGACTTCTTTTAAATAACATCAAATTAATTTTGTAAATTCCAATGATATTGCTCCTACGGCATTGGGTTCGTAAGCCAGATTTTATTCGAACTATTCTAATGACTTCAGCTGCTTTTACAACTTCAGCGGGTAAAAATACTTATAGAAGCGGCTGAAGGCAAACTTCTGCCTCTTTGATATGGCTGGAATTTGACTGCACTTTTAGGGCTCTAAATTTCAGGCTATAGTAATTTGGATGCCTATGTGAATGAAATATGGAAGAAAACAGATAACAGATATAAGATGCTACAGGCATTCGTTATTCAGTTCTAATAAGAAAAGAAATGGACGATCATTAGATATTATTCGTTAATGATGGCTTCCAAAGCGGTAGAATCAAAAAATTGTTATATGACTATTCACAACTCCTCATATTAAATTGACTTGAATAAAGATTATATCTAACTCTAATGGTCTTATTGCAAAAATTAAATTATATGAAATAATAATAATAGAATTTAAATTATATATCTATTTCTAATGGCCTTATTGCAAAAATAAAATCTATAACAATTGTAAGGATAAAAATAATAAACTTTTGGTCATCTGTTGATAGTAATATTCGTAAGTCCAGAAAGGAGTTGATCTTAAATGAGAATTGTATTCTACTTAGGTATTACAGCATGGAGTCTAAGTAATTACCCACACATTTACACACATTAGATACGATTAAAATGATGATTATGACCTTTAGACAACAGTGATCCCATTGCGTTGACTATTATATATAGGCACATAGACATGCACGACTGTTCCTTTATTTTACTATGAAAATACAGATACGAGTACATAGCTACCTACTCACATACAAATATCAACTTTAAATACCTACCTATTTTAAACGTAATCAGATATTTCAGTTATAATAATTAACATTTTCAGGTAAAAAGATTACTAGTAATGGGGTAAAGTAAGCCCGTTGCTCAAGGTCTGTCCCGGAAACCATTCATGTTATTTACTGGTGACTTTACTACGATGATATTATACTATATAGAGAGAGAACCTGATTTCATATTCAGCCCATTATCTGCCATTGGTGACCCGCCCGCAGAACCATACTGTTAAACGTTATTAAAAAATCTGGTAGAGAAACACTTCAAATCCGATTAAAAAAGTATTTTTTTGCAAAAAAAGCCTAATATAGGTAGACGAATTTATAGATGATAACAATATCTGGTAAAGTAACAAATTTTATACCTTTATGTACAAGGTTTATTTGCTGACTTACTGCTACTTGAAATTATATTTAACTTAGTTATTTTTTTGTTTTATAGATTTCAATAATTGAGAAATATGATAACATATCAGTTTATATTGCGAATATTAAAAATATCCTTCAAATATCCATTTCTTAAGTTATATATTATTATTTCTTAATTTATGAAATATTCAGACATGTGGCAACGTACTGGTCTCGGTCATTGGGCTCCCTAAAATATGTACTTACGATCGAAGGCAGAGACCGGCTTGTCAAAAGCTTAGCTAACAAAACTCACCTTTCTATATAGTTGTCAGAATATTTTAAAAACAATAAACTACCTAATAGCGTTATTTTATTAAGTACCCTGTTGAAAATGTCAGTTATGCCTCAGTGTATTTCTCATGAACTTATGACCTGAGAGACGGAAACGTTACATAGTTGCGACAGGATGAATCCCTTTAGCCAGTTATATTAACAGGGTGCAAATATCGGCGGAAGACGTAATAGGCATAGGACGGCCGGAGATGACTTGATTGGAACACTTCGTTTAGTTAAACGTTTTGGTTTCCTACAATTGACGCCTTGGTGGAGGATGCAAGTAATGGATCGGCAAACATTGAGTGGTTATGTTTGAGATGAGATCTTATTCGTGTTGAAAGACGTTTGAAAAAATACTATGACGTGAAAGCGTAATGTTGACCGTCAGTCGAGTACTTTGATTAGTATTCTATGATTTTTAAAAAATGGAATGGAAAATAAGCTGACGGCTCTCTTTGGTGAATGGTAGGTAATGTTACTTATATACGTGATTTGTTGAGTACACCACGATACGCCTGTTATACCACTCATGTATTGACTTTCCGGAAAGTAATGTGGCTCATATTCTGTAATTTTACTACCCTTTCATCTTACAACTTACAACATCTAGGTGTCTGAAATATGGAGAAGACTGACTTCGATAATCACTTTTATAAATTCCATCTCAGTCGAAATATTTATTATAGATGATGTAATGAAAACACTAAAATATTATACTTGCACCTATGACGGATGTGCAATAATTATAGTCATAAATTCCCATTGTGATGTCTATTGTAGGTGCTAGAAGTTTTATGTTTTACGTTTGTTGATTTACAAAACTTGAAAATTAGAAAAATTAAAACTTGGAATTTATGATAAGTAATTATTGAGGTAGGTAACTGCTTGATAAAATAGTGACTTATCTAATCATGTTTCGTATTGAGTTAAGACGCGAATCACATTATTTGCTATATTAAAAAATAGATAAGATTATAAATTGCATTCGGCTAATTATGAAAGGTTATTATAATTACAAGTTTTTACCTGTGATGTTGTGACCGATATAGAACGATTGAGATAAAAAATAGACTATGACCTATCTATATATACCTATCGCAATTGTTAATTGCAGTTATACCACGTTTCATGAAATTCATTGAACCATGATAATTTTAATTTTAAGAACACAATGTTTAAAAATTTACGAAACCAATGAAATTAATAGATGAATCTAAAATGGCAGCAACTGCCCTAACGGATAGTGCTAGTATATGTATAATATTATATTATCTGTGGTGCTAGTGAGGCACCAATGCCGGATTATAGGGTACGCATGCTGAATTGCATGCAATACAAATAATAATAATAACCAAAATACCAACTGTTACAATAGGAATTAAAATTGTATTATTCTTTTCAGTTAATTACTATTCTACTACTTACTATATATTGAATGATAAAATTGAACGCGGAATAGTTTGAACACGCTAAACTCAGGGACGGACAGAGAAAACTTTTTTGCATGTAATTTCCCAGGTATGAAGGACAATATATAGTGCTCTTAGGAGAAAAAAAATACCTGTAATTAACGTAAAGAAAATAGATTTTAACTAGGCAGGTGAAACTACGAGGCTCATTATTAATAGATAATAGTAATAAATTAGATAATAACTGTAATAATAATGATGGATTATCTATAAGTACTTAATTAATCATTATTAGGGTGTAACTATATCTATGTACATGTTTATTATATATTTAAACATGTGAAATTGTTTTCTCTTAAGATAATATTTTATAAGGTAGGCCGGTATTGTAAAAATAAAATGCAAGTCATTTTTATTACATAAATAAGAAAAATGTATTTATATTTCAGTTAGCTTATATTATTATTCATGTTTTAGTTAGTTATTATTTTTACAGTTAAGTATTCATCATGCATTATGCGATATACCTACATGTAGGTACCTATAACTAGTTATATGACTATGTACATTTTCAAATCAGAACCAACTTAATTATATTTACTTATGTAAAATAATTTCACTTTTTTTAGTATATCGATTTAGAATGAATCTCAAACAGTTGGGCGATTGGAAAGAGAAAGTTCATAGTAGATATTTAGCTACAAAATTACATAGTAAATTAGTTTTTTTTATGCTAACTGCGACAAACAAGCTGTTGGTCCATCCGACGTTAAGTGCTAGATACAGATCGTCCGTTCTAAAAAATAGCTTATTATTGTATTGTACCGTCCCCAATACAATAACAAGCTATTTAGTTAGTTAGTTAAGTTAGTCATTACTTTATTATACTTATTATAAAATTTGTGAAATAGTGATGAAGAGAGAACTCTTTTTTTTACGTGTGTAAAAACACGGGGAATTAAGGTGAGATTTTAACAGAATATGTTGTTAAATATTGATTATTAAATTAAAGAAGCCTCAGAAAAGTACCTCAAGTAATTATTTCTTATTAATTTTAAATACACCATTTTAACTCCAAAATACTTTTCAAATAATTTATTTATGAAATAATAAATATTAATGTTTCATTTAATTTGTTGTTTATTGTTAATAGATTTAGACGCAGATAAAATCACAGGCACCACTACACACACAGTCATACATATATACCTACTACTTACTTTATTATTCGATCTCGGAAAATTATTTACTATGGATATATCAGAACGAGGAAATATACCTATTTATACTCTCCATTCTTTGCTATGGCTCTATCACGGATAATCCAATTACAGTAATAAATTACATAACAACCAATTGGGGCTACAATTCGGCATATAAGGCACATACTTATAATATTTATAATATTATAAGTATGTGCCTTATATGCCGAATAATTTCATATATTCATGAACTATAATTATAAGGCTTCAAAAAAAAAATAAGTAGGAATTAATTAAATTGCTGCCTAGGCGTGACTCGAACCCAGTACTCTGGTATAGTGGTGATGATGCCCTGCAGGCGTTGTGAGGGGCCCCGCAGCGGACGGCCCCCCGCGGGCGATACCCGGAACGCCTGCATGAACGCCGCGAACACCTGGAACATCGCCTGCCGCGCGTACGTCTCGCCAGCGCACAGACGACGGCCTAGAAACCAAAACAGACAGTACTATTTATGATTTTTTTATAAAAAAATCTATTATTGATTACATTATATTTATTAATAATATTTCCGGTTTATTTTATAGATCAAATACCTAAATAACTAAGTATTTTATATTAAGTTAATTTGAATAAAGATTATTTCTTTTACATAAATGTAAAGCGGAACTATTATTAATGAATAAGAAAGTTTTAAATGGTAGGTATTATTTTTTTATTTAATCTTTATTATAATAAATTTGTATGAACACGTTTGCATAATTTTTTGTATTCTACCAATCGGAACGCATACTCGTCACAAGAAGAATGAGTAAAAAAATTACGTGTTTCTCTTTTAAATAAATGTTGTTCAGAATAAATGCCAAATAACAAAGTAGACAAACATAAAAAATAGCAACTTGAGTAATAAAATTAATCAAACATAGTAATCAGAGCAGATCAGGCCCTACATGCAGCACCCGATTGCGAGTATAACGGGTGAACCAATATTATTAGCAGGCATTGAAATACTAACTGACCCGCGCAACGTTGTAGGGGTCTCATTATGCCGGATTTTGCAAAATTTTTATTGAAGGTATATAGATATCTTTTTGGGGGTAACGTGACGTTATATAACCTATACATAGGCTATTCAACACTAGTATTTTCCGTATCCGTTCCATAAGTCCTTTTGCGCGTTTGAAGTGTCATCTGCATCCGACCCCTATCGTCCGGTGAAGCTGTCCATGTCCAACAACATGAAGAATTTTCAAGATCAGAGATTAACTCTACAACCCCACAAACTCGCTATACACACATTATCGTATATAATGTAATCATAGATGTAGTAGGAGGTACCTAATAAGATATAATGTGAACTATAAATGTCGTGGAACGCAACATTTGAGATATCCATATTTCTCCAGTTTCTAGTATTAACGAATGAAGCCAGGAGAAGGTACCATCCTTTCTTAAAATATTTTATACAATATTATACAAAAAATTATGTCGGCCAGATCAAAATCAAAGTCTTTAGTGTCCTAAAGTTGTGATAGTCATCCACATTTTTTTTATATTATTTTATACATTCCTAACTGAAATCATGAGCGAATAGATATTAAACTTTTTGAGAATATAAAATAAGTGTCTATGATGCAATCAAAAATAGATATTGAAATATTTATGGGTGCAATGGCCTACATAAAAGTAACGACAGTGTACCAACATCGTAACCACTTAATGTGTGAGATAAATACACACTCACCACTATTTTGATTAGTGATTACGAACTTTATTTTGAAACGTCATCATTAAAGAGCAATGAACTCTCTTCTAAAATGCTAACAGATATAAAAAAAGAAAACATACGAGGATTAGTGAGCGAGTAAAATTATTACTTTTATCATCTGAATGATGATTGATGAAACATTTATTATATGATATATACCTATATATGAATTTATTTATTCTTTTGCACACAAAAATTGTATATGGCGTACTTAATGCCTAATGACATTGTCTACTAATCACTGTCGCGTTGATCAGTGATAATAAAACGGTGCAATAATAGATATAAAAACAAATAAATAAAGTGGCTAATGGCAACACAAACCGCCGGAGCCAAAAGAAGAGAAAAAAATAAAGAAAATATTTATATATAAATATATATCCAAATATATAAACAAACTAATATACCCAAATATGATCAGACTATATTCAGGTGGGTACCTAACTATATTTACAATGTGTATTCATGATAAACTTGCTGGTTTTTGCAACAAAATACAATGTTGTGTTTACGAAACCTTCTGTTGACAATACGCGTGTGGAACCTTTATTTCTATAGTTGTATACACTGTCCGCTACGGTAAGTAACTTAATGTTTTCCATCAAACAGACCGTGTACTCAATTACCATTAATATGTTATATCATAGCTATGGGGCTATTGATACATTACGTCAGACGTTTAAAGGCGTGGGGAGGAACGACAAAGTAAGTAAGCTTTGTATGACAAGGGGTGGAATCTTAAATTTCGTATTTAAGATTCCACCCCTTGTTTCAATATTAAATTACGAAATTAGAACTATTAAAGAAAAACTTAAATATAGCTACATATTTGAATAATATATATCAAAAAATAAATAAATCTTAAACATCTGATTGATATATTGATAAATATCTTTTGCTGTGCACAATAAAGAGTAAATCAAAAGTCTAAATCCATCTAAATAGTTATGAACAGTATTATAGGACTTACCAGCACCAAAAGGTAGAGATTTGTCTACACTGAGGTCCAGTCGTCCGTCCACAATGAACCTTTCGGGCCGGAAGTTCTCAGGGTCGCCCCAAATTTCCTTATCCATATGCAGCATGTGGAAGTTTGCATTGACCATTGTACCCTGAAGAATAATATTCATCTTAATAATATTATAAACGCAGAAGTTTGTTAGTGTGGATGGATGGATGAATGTTTGTTACTTTTTCACGCAATAATTACTTAATGGATATTTACAATATCTAATATAATTTCAACATTAGAATAACACATAAGATATAAATTTTACGTGGGTGTAACTACAACACAAGCAAGCACAACTAGTATAATATACCTTTATTGTCCATAGACTGAAGGTCCATGCCCATTTTTGTGTTTTTTTTATTTACTCTGTTTGATCCTTTCTTTCCTCGGTTTGCTTATTCCTCGAAAATATGTTGTGCCTTGCCGCAATTTATCTGCATTATCCTGATATTTTTTATTTTTCTCACCCTACAACTACGTAGAATCATGCATTGTGATAGTTTTTTCTCATCAATTGGTATACTATTTGTCATTTGTATCCTATTATATTTCCAGCAAATAATATCAAATAAAATAATTAGGATAATAAAATCTATTATATTATGCACAATTCTGTTAAGAACCTAAAGTTATATAGTTTATAAGTTTTACTTTTATTTTACTATCATGTATTATTCAGTGATTGTACTTTTGATTTTAACTGTACCTAAATCACAGAAAGTGAAATCATGATGCCACTGGTTTTCATTAATTAGAAAACTAGTTTAATGATTGCCGATTATTTAATACGGTCTCTCGTATGTGTATTAATGCCGTAACATAACATTATAATGTGTAGTTCAATGTTATAATAGTTGAAAGTACCGTCGTAAGCAATAGGTGCTTGACCACCATACTTTTGATCAAAAGGTAGTGAGTTGCAATCTGACTGTTGTAAAAGAAACTGTGTATTTTAATGAAATTAATAGCCTATTATTATCTGATGTATAAGCTATATTTCTGTAAAGTTTCATTAAAATCCGTTCAGTGGTTTTTGCGTAAAAGAGTAACAAACATTCATCCAAACTCAAAAACTTTCGCGCTTATAATATTACTAAAATAAAAACCACAGGCTTAAACAAAAGAGTCTGTTGACGACTAAATAAGATTACACACTCTACCATGTATTTGATACATGATACATGGTAATTTGTGTAATGTTTTTTTATTAATGTAACGTATTTTATATATATAATTAAAAAAATTACACTCTCCTCTTTTTTACTATATGAACTCGCACGCACTTATGCGATTATTAATTTCATACTCCTCCATCCGCTCAATTTTCGTAGAGAGGTACAAAGTTTCTGCTTCACGTATTAATATATAGATAATTTTGATTGATTTTCCGATAACAAATTAAATTCAGCGATAGTCTCGTCTCCTTTAACATTGGATTTAAAGAAATCAAGCTAAATGTCAAGTGTTGCGTACACCTCAACGTCGACAGTTTAGAATAATACCTTTGACTATATTATCTGGATTAAGAGACGAGAAGGTATATATTTAAAATACCTTAGGTATATCGAATCCATGGAACTTAGTGTCGTTAATTGCACAATGTGGAACACCCAACGGTACAAGCGTGTCAAAACGCATCGCTTCCCGCAAACACGCCTCCGTGTAGGGCATGCTGAAAAAAAACAAACACAGTAAAGTAATAATAAATATAATGCATGTATTTTGTGGGTATTTGAAGGATAGTGATATTAAGAAATGTAAGTGTTGTGTTATAATGTAAATGATTTCATATTCAATATTTGCATCCCTTTACGGGGTGCTGCATGTAATGTACTATTATTTAGTAAGATCCAAAACTGTACCATGTAGCAATAGCAAGCAAATAAATAAATAGTTATTATTTTTAATGAATAAATAAACAGTCCTTTTATTTCTTAGTTTGACGGCTTCGTTGGTTTTACGGTTTAGCACACCGCTTTACCATTGCTTGCACGGTACAAACATTTGTGTTCATTATTATAATTGTATTTATTAAGTGTTTTCTATATATATTGTGTATGTATTTACTAGAAAATGTGTATTGAAGTATTTCTGTAAATTGTTTAATATCTATAGTAGGTACATACAAACTTCGCTTAGTTTGAGAATAGATCGCGCTATGTGAATTATAATTCATTTTTCATTTATAATGTTGCATGCTATTATCTACGTTTACAATCTCTACAATTTTGGCTACATATTACGTACAATTATATGCAAAAACCATAGGAAGATTGGGAAGTCTTTCAAAAATAATTTCACGCCGCCTGCATCCGATCTTGCATAGCAACTACACCTTACTTAACAAAGTGAAATGTGGCAATAAAATTACTGGGTCGCCATCATAGAGGTAGTAACGTACTTACGCCCTAGTGGCATGTTTTTATGGCGTCACGGTTTAGTTTTTATAATTATTTTGTAATTTGGTATCAATGAAAGTTGATAAGTAGTTTGGGTTTGTAAATAAAATATAGCGTCTTGTTTTGTTTATAGCAATAGAAATGGACACTTATACGAGTAAAATGGTGGTTAAATAAAACACTGAATAACTCACACTACACCATCTAGTCCCGAATTAAGCAGAGATTGTGCTATGAGTAAGCTATGAGTATACTTAGAAAACATCCAGACCAATACAAGCAATTATACCCATGAATAAAAATATTTGGACCGTGCGAGGAATCAAACTCGCGACCATTGGAAGTAAGGCGATGTTGTAAACAGCTAGACTACCCAGGACGCCATCGAGGTTACCGAAAACTCTACCAAGTTTTCGGTTCTTCTTTGCCTAGAAGACAAGCTTGGCGATTCAAAAATTAAACACTGCCAGTATGTTGGGTATACTACCTCGATGTGCCGCGTTGGAAGACAAATGCTACGTGTGAAGATAAGTACGGTCTATCACGCGCGAATGAGCCATATTCTGGCCGGCTTTCCGCAGGAAAGAATAACCGTGTAAACGAGGACAAAGAGAACAAGACCGCGAGCGACGCCAGTCCACGAATTCCTGCGTCTCTAACTCGTGTACTTTAGCATCTTTGTGTAAAATATAATTATAATTGCAAAATGACAATGAAAGAAATTTAACTATGAACCACACTTTAAAGGTGTCTTTGTAAAATAAAAGCTGTGGTATAAAAATAAAATTTTAATAGAATGTGAAATGACCATATAAATATACCCATAACCACGCGCAAAAGAGTGAACACAAAAAATAATTAAATGCAATCACCACGATTGCACACGCTGGCTTTCCCGTTAATAATCCCGCGCTCCGTTAAATAATGTGTCCTGTGTTGCTGTCGTATAATGATGTTTCTTTTTAATAAAAAAGTAAAAATAAAAATAGAATTGCCGCAAAAAATATATTAATTCTTACTTTTTTCTATCATCTAGGTTGGGTAAGCGACCGCTGCCCACAACACGGTCGATCTCCTCATGCACCCGATCCTGTATATAGGGCCTTAGCAGTAAATGTTCCACGAGCATTGTAAGTACTGCCTCGACTGCCGTCGCAGCAGGGAACATATAGTCTACGCAGATCAGCGCCAACTGGTCCACTGCAATACCAGATATTTCAGTAATTTTCAAGTTGAGCGTTTGCATTTTTATGTTTTAATGACAAATAGGCTGATGGTCTATAGAGACTGTCGCCTATATACATGAACAGTATCATGGACATGACACGTTATTACCTGACGTCACTGGTGCCATTCATGCGCTGCAATTCCAGAAGACTAAGATATCATGCCTCCGTATCCATATTCACGGCCTTCTCTCACCCTTAAAATGAAACATTGTACAAAGCAAGGTGGCTGAAATAGGTTGTTGAATATACTAAAGAAGACGACTTGAGATAGCTTTGTGAAAGACAATGTCTAGCTCAGTAAACCTAAGTACATATAATTGTTACAAATGATTATTTGTGGACATAATGTGTCTAACAGTTGTGTAATTGAATTTACATACCTGAAAATTATTGCATAAATAGCAATGAGATCGTCTTTTATACACTTTTTAACATAGGCGTTTATGTACTTCTTTAACTTCTTCTTTATGTGCATTAAATAACTGTAACCATCCATTAATTCATATATCTTAACAGAGACTTAAAATACTTTGTTCAGAGTCCTGGGTCGTTTTGGTGAAATCTTTTTGAAGGGTGAGGTGAGGTAGTGCAATTACAGGACAAACTCCGTTCGTGCTTGGTGTTGTTTATATATGGGTGCCGGCTTCCACTTTCCATTAGGTGAGCCATCAGTTTTTTTTGGCATTCCAGCTATATAAAAATAATTATTTTATATCATAAATACCTGAAAATGTAGATTTGCCTTTCTCCGCAATTTCTTCCTTCATTTTTCTAATGTACATGTCCAGGAAATGCCTATCATGAGAGGAATCATGTGTAGCCATTACGTCATTAATTACATTCTGAAAATTATATTAGAAAAGTTTCTAATTGATATAACCTTAGTATGTCTTTCTTAATATAAATAATTCTTCGTGTGCTTGGAGTTTAATAGAAGTTAAGTACTTCTATTAAACTCCTTTACCGATTTGGATTGAATTTTAGGTATATATTTCAATAGGTTCCTGGGTAATTTGAAAACATAATTAGACCTAGTAGGTGGAGTTCCTTAACCGAGCAGTACGCTGATAGCCAAAAGTTGAATAGCTACCCCCTTCCGGCTTCGCACGGCTCTAAATGTATTATACATATAAACCAACCACTTGAATCACTCTGTCTGTTGCAAAAAACTACATTGCGAACAGATGTTTAATAAGGATTCATACAGTATAAAATGAAGTCGCTTCCACATGATTGTTTCTATTTATTTTATTTAAAATAAATAAATAAAAACAATATTTGGTCGAAACTACATTTTAAGATGAGGTTATATCTAGTAATTCTCTGGTAAAGGAATTACTATAATAAAATATAACTAAAATAACCCTAGAGACACTCAATCTCTCATCATCTATTGCGACGATATATTCAAATGAATTCAACATTTGGACAATGCGCGATTACCCCATTTGGAATAACAGTATTGAATATATTTATTTCTTTATATGTTTTGACTTACCGTAAAAAAATCCAACAGATATTGATTGCCTTTCTTTAATCCAGTGTATCCACTATAATTTGGTAAAATATCCTTCAGCCACGGTGTGAGTGCGAGTGCACCACCTATGTCATTGGAACTCCTTTGGAAAACCAGCGTCCATTTAGCTAATTCCCAGAGAGTTTTGTAATCGGATCTCGGGACTGTCATTCGACTGACGACGTGGAGTATGCCATTGATAAATGGCGCAGCGAAGTAATGAGGAAGGTAGATTAGATCTCCCTTCACTAGTTTCTGTTGGACGCAATAAACGAAAACATGGTATAGTTAGTTTCAGAAACAATGATCGATTAAAATAATAATCTCAGGACAACGAACTCTTGTCCCAAGAGACTAAACAATTGATTTAAATACATACATAATATACATAGGATACACTAAGTTTGTACCGTGCGAGGCATAAATTTTGTATTTTTATGGGTTTCAAAATCTATTTCAATCAATTAGAATGTCAAATCTCCAATAAACGTAAGGGTCCGTAAGGGATTAGAATGTAGATAAAAGATCCTTAGAAGACAAACGAAATATTATTTTGCGACTTCATTATATGTATGAAATCGCAAAATAATATTTTGTTTGTCTGTTATTATGTTACAAATTCTCTGAATTAAGATGAGATTTTAATAGAATATGTGTTTAATTCATAGTTTACAAAATATAGGGTTAAGAAAGCTGAGAATAACACCCACCAAAAGCGATGATGTAATTAATTAGGTATATTATTATAATATTTTCAATATGCCGCCTACTACTTTATGGATTAATTTATTAATTAAGTAATAGATACTTTGTTTTGATTTGATTAGATTGTTTTTGTCGATTGATTATTTTCAATAGAAGGTGTCGTATAAATGCTTTAATCAAAGTGGCAAGAGAATGTTACTTAATTAGTACTTCATAAATTCACTTTATCGATAGACCTGACGTTTGCTCTGTGTCGACCCGCAACTAGGTTGTATTTTAAAACTCAACCTACTTGTATCTGATATGCAATATTACGTACGACAATAGGTAGTAAGTAATATTCTATTATCCGTAGTATAAAAAAACTGCGAAACAAATATATCTGTAGTAGGTACTACCGATAAGTTAGTCAGCGACACAAAAGAAATATTGTTCACTTAGGTACTTTTTTATTTACAAGTACCCACATTATTAAAAAATAATCACATACGTTCAATTATGGTGAATTGCCATTGTGAAGGAAACATATATAAGAAAAAAATATGCTGAATTGAGTGGGTTCTTCTTTTGTTTATCTCTATTGCACTTATAATAAACAATAATAAACGATGTTGTATTTTTTGGTTTCACAATTTTATAAGACTTCCTGCGAAATTGTAATCTGTGTTAACTGAACTTGGCTATTTAATGTAATGTGTATTATGCTATTTTCAGAAAATAACATTACGTACGAGTTTTAAATATTTATTACCATTTCAGCGTCATTCTTGGGTCCATGTATTGTCATATCCAACATTTCTTTGATCTCGCTCTCTAATACTGATTCTAAAGTGCCATCACGTCTTCCAAACCCGTAGTCCCTCATATACCGAAGGGAGAATCGCCTTTGTACATGCCAGAAGTAGCCATCCGTGAAGAATATACCTTCGAATTAAATTGTGCGTTATCCAGCAGTTTTTCTTCATATCAGGTCTCTTCAGAAGTCAAAAGGCTAAATACTTTTTATGTAACTGGTCAGCAAAGAAGCTCACGACTCTCCAGATAGAAAGTGGCACCCGTTGCTTATATGCACGACAAGTATGATGAAAATCATGTCATACGTCATGCGTTGCCATTCCGGAGAAAATTCCATACCCCTATAATTCATCATCACTGGCATGTCTCTCATATATTTTAACTATATATCAATTAACTGATTATATAAAAGAATTATATTTGAATGAATTCAATTTTATTTAAATAAACGATGGAATAATTACTTATTAATCTTATTTATTTCAATAAACTTACCCAATCTTTTCCAGTAGGCTCTAAGCCTACCCAAAATAATGTCCGTTCGTCCATCAAAGTCCTCATGATTCAACATTTCTTTGATCATAGTGGAATCATTCACAATTATCGTTGGTAATGTTCCCAAGAAAAGACCCACTATTTTAGTATCGTACCACTCCCCAAGTCTTTGGAAAGCCAACGATAGATTGTTAACCGCAGTGGCCAGGACTATCCAGTAGGCGCCGTATATTGGTAACCGTGGAGGTCCTGCAGAAAATAGTTCTTTAGATTACGTTTATTTTAAGGACGTATGACTGCCAGTGCCGGATTAGCCTATAAGCAAGAGCAGCAGACGCAACGGGCTTCTCGCACTAAACAAAAATTATAATAAAGATACTGGTGTCTGCGTATAAAGTCTAAGCGGATTGCGAGTTAACAGATTGAGGTGGTTAATGTTAGTCATGTTATGTAGAAGAACGAGGATCATGTCTAGAAGAAAAATTTTGCATGAACATCGATGGATGGAAGAAAAAGACCAAAAAAGAGATGGACGGATTGTGTGAAAACAGATATGTATAACAGGAGAGTAAGTAAGGTGATGACGGCTGATAGGGATCAGTGCAAGAGTAGGACATACTGCGCCAACACAAAATAATGGGTTAAAAGTAAGGCAAAAAAGTTTAAGCGGATTATTACAAGGTTAATTATTAGCGACAGTCATTTTTTAAACCTAAACTTAAGAATCCAGATCAAAACATGGGACCTCTTCAAAAATTTAATCCGGCCGGTACTGATGACTGGATGATTATTTTAAAGACAGATCTGATTAAAGAAGTTCATTAGGAATCGCGTAGGTGGTAGGCAATATAAATAGATCGATTTGATATATAATGACTACACTATAATATTCTCTTATCTGTGGCTTCAGTTAGGTGCGTAATAATTGTTAATTTTTAGGTATAATTTTAGATGAATTATTACCCAAATTAGTATGACATAATTATGTACAACCATAGCTGTTCTCAGCTGTCATATATTGTTATCTCGCGCTAATTAGGCTATTAATGACAAATCGTATCACAATTACGTATAAGTGCATGGAGATAATTAATTATAATAATTAATACATTTATGAGCACATTTATATGTGGTTAATACTAACGAAGGCCTCCGCAGTCTAGCGATTTGACACACAGTCTTACTTCTTAAGATCGCGGGTTCAATTCTTGCACGATATAAACATTTGGATTCACGAATATTGGTAACGAATAATAATAATAATAATCTCAGGACAATTCATACAGCGCCATCTAGACCCAAGCTAAGCTAGCTAAAGTTTGTATTATGGGCACGAGATAACTGATACAAATACATAGAAAACACCCAGACCGATACAAACAATCATACTCATGAATACAAATGTTTGTGCCGTGCGAGGAATCGAACCCGCGACCATCGGACATAAAGCTAGACCGCTAGACCACCGAGGTCGTCAAAATGGTATGGGTGTAATTATGTAGGTAGCTATGTATTTACAAAGAATATATTATTGTACAATTTCAGAAATTTAGCTATTTAATCACAGTACCTAAAGATTTTAGGTTACTACTAGATGGCACTGTGTGAATAGCCCTAGATTTATTGTAAATAGATAGCGGTCTTTATAGGTATAACTTAAATAGACCTATAATTATATAATATAGTTTATGAGATATGAAATGTTGTGCTTACGTCTAAAATATAGGTACTAAAGCAAATTACATCCATATCACACCAGACATTGAGAGTAAATTCTACACAATAAGAGACAATCACTTTATGTTAATAATATTAGCATATACTTATTATTAGCATATTAGCAATCATAGTTCGGACTTCGTACTGCACAATATATGTAGATTAATATGTATGAAAAGTTACAAAATATACCTATATTAAATACAAATTAACTAATTAGAAAAATATCCATATAAAAACTGGCACTTGTAAAGTCTCTCCCGTTAAGGAAAGAATTTCACTAGGGTTATCTACATTAAATCCGAATTTATGATATAAAATAATACTACTGTAATTAAATTCGGCTTATTGCATACTAAGTATACAGACCATGGTAAGCTTTGAATAGTATTTTATGCTCTAAATCATTTGTTTACTGTCTTCTGCGTTTCAATCAAAATATTAAAAATGTTATTCACATTAAAAAATACTAGCTAACTTTTTCGGAATTCGCGTATAACTTCACTACGTGTTTGGTAGTCATAAGATCCATCTGTCTACCAAATTTCTTACTCATCCGTCCAATAGTTTTTGAGGGAAAGATAACAAGCAATAATTCAACTTAATATTGAGAAATTTTACGTTGTTTTTTCTAGTTACTAGTTTCATATCACAATAATCCCTATTCTAAGGCAGTAATGAGAGTCATGACCCTTAACAAGAATATTCTTTATCTCAGTACCTATAAAATACATCTTTATGAAAGAAAGAAAGAAAGAAAGATAGAAAGAAAGAAAGAATGTATTAATAATAATAATAAACGTATATATAAAATTAGAAGGATTACATTGGCACGTAATTTCTTAAATTGTCTGCATACAATTTAAGAAATACTTGACTTCTTAATCTGCATCGCTTACCACATGTGTCTTCTCTGATACACTCGTAAGTACATAGGTATGTATGTCGAATGTCAATAAAATTGTAACCGTTAAAACTACTAACAACACTCACCAAGCTCCGAGGTATTTGACGAGGCATAGTGGTTTATGGGCAAACGATTGTAACTTGTGAAAGCAATGTTAATTAGATACATTTACAGTTCGGTAGGAGTACCAACTCAAAAATATGTAGATAGTACCATGTTAATAAAACCACCGCCTCTTAATCCATGCTAGTAAGTAGGTGTTGAAATTTTGATGCATTTCAAAGAACTGCACAGTTAGAAAACGGTTAAAGTACAGTGTTTCACTAATACTTACAGAAAAATAGTACATTTGTTTTACTTAATGAAGATTAAATAAATAAGTCAAACAAATAATTTTATGAACACGTTTTTAATCAATAACTCTGATAGGTAAACATAACAAAAATAAAATTGGGAATAAACGGGTTTCAGCCCAAAGAGGACAGTGAATCTATCCTCTCTACGTTTCTGTCGAAATCTTGACCGTAAATTAATGGAATAAAAAATAATAAAATTTCTCTACTTTTCGTTTACAATCATATTAAGAATAAACTGGCATAAATCATTATAACGAACTATTAGGTAGGTTAATTAAAATTCACAATACCGTACAACTAAGATCTCAAATTGTTCGTAATCATAAAATAACAAAGCTATTAATTTCAATCTTTAAAATTGAGAATTATTAGTACCAGTGTTCCACAATCAAGGGGCTGAGGACATGCAAGTGATTGGTATCACAATAGCTAATGATGTGAGCCATTAAATTGGTGTAATATGGTTTTATCTATTCAAATTTTAGTAGTTTATTTATCAATTAGCACAGATTAATATTAAAGTTTTTATAAACAAAGAAATCAATAGGTTTCTACTATTGCATTCTATCTATTCTTCTATAACGCTAGAAGACACTGCTCTACATTGATAAAGCCGTGAAGTAGGAAATCTATAGCGGATAAATGTGAAGAGAACGGGGCAATGACCGTGCCCAAGAGTATTATTGTTTTATTAATAAAAGGTTCTTCTGACGAAATTTACCTTTAACTTACATACACATATACGATAAGCACAGCAATGCAGCATTGCCAAAGGTTATAAACGATATGTAAAAATAAAAACAATCTATTGTAGTAACAAGTTTATCACTAACAAAAATAGTTTTTTTTGTTATTGTTTATGGTATGAGTACTGGTACAATCGTTACTAGGATTGTCGTCATTCAATTTTTTTTTTACATTTGTACAGCTATAAAATAGATTGTAAGAATAATTACATGCTGTATGAAAATATCGTTTTTCTATATAACTAAAATGGCAAAGGAGCGGCCCACCTAGTGGATAACGTCGCTGACATAAACAGCGTCTATACATTGTTCCCCACATGTATAAGATTAAATGCGATGCCTGCTTACGCTGTAATGTTACTGCAGAGTTCAACTGCTTGGAGTTAGAAATGGGTAAAACAGAACTATCAATGCATAAAACTTTATAATTGTTAATGGCTTTGCATTAAAACTATATTTCATGAAATTAGATATGAACCTATATATAATTTATATCTTACCTGCTGGAAAGTTCGGTAGTGTTTTGAAAGCATTTTTATAACAACGGACTATTGAATATGTAACAATGGACAGTCCAATGACTGCCCCAACACTAATCATTTCTTACAAAGTCTAGGACCCAAGTTGTTGCTACAATGTTAAAATTATTATTGAACGCGAATACACAATTCTACAGATTGTCGTGGTCAACAATAGTATGAACTCCTATTTTCTTTAGACGGTTCCGTATGCAGTATAAAGTATATTCTATATCAAATATAGCGCATATACTATATGTAATGGACTGTGTTCTGAAGAACTAAAAGATTTCACATGATGCCCACGGCTACATTTATCATGACACCGCTCACCATTGACAGAGGCACTCGCTGGTACCGAAGTGGTCTCGGACAGTGCGGTTTCAGAGGAGCTTTTACCTGCGTAAACTTACAATTAGATTGTGGAATGAACTACCTTTTCTCGAGGGATAGATACATAAGATTTTTCAATAACTCTTAAGAACTTTTAATAAACCTTAATTTGCCCATATTAAGGTTTCTTAAGTTGGCAACGCGCACGGCCGTATGCCTGTTTGCCACCATCGTAGTATAAAAAAATACATGTAACCTGTAATAGGTGCAAAGTGAAAATCAAAAGGCAAAAGCATTTAATTTGTATAGGACATTTTTAGTCACATTATTTTTCAATATAAATTATTAACAGTGTCCAGTCCAATTTAAAGTGATTGTTTCAATCGAGAAGAACTGTCAAGAAAGGTAACTGGTTTAATTATGACATCTTAGTAACAACTCAATTCTGCTTTAGGTAACGTTAATGTCCATGACGCTTTGCAGATAATAAGCGATGGTTACCACTTACCATCAGGAGCCATCAGCAACCAATCTAGTTAAATAAAAAAAAAAATCGGCTAGCTCATCCACTTGAGAAGAATTAGTTGAGTCAAACGAAACGTACGTTTCGTATCATCTAAAATCTACTTTCTAATAAATTTTGGTTGACTGCGACTAACAAAGTCGGCTAGTCTATACCTCAGCATTTTAATGAATAATTTAAAACGATATTTTGCTATCACATAAAGCTGCTAATTTTATTTTGAGTATTTCAAAACCTATTTCCTTCCCTTCCCTAACTAATTCTCTTCGTGCCTCTTCTAATTCATTCAGTTCTATTCCGTTCCATTCATTCTCATTTTATCATGAACTGCATTGTATATTGTAGGTACTATGAAATGATGTTTAAATTAGAGTGCTAGAAACAATTTGTACAGGTAATGGGGTTTTACAGGCAATATTTCATATTTTTCTTTTTATACATTCGAACATAAATATTAAAAGACAGTAGCTGAATTGACATTGCCGTTCTCGAGATTTCCGCTTAACAACATATTAATTTTAAAGTAGATTAGTATATATATGGCTTTATTCGTATTAACCAGATAATAAATTATAAAAAACATAACATAAACTTTATTGTCATAAGTAGCTACATAGGCAACTAAAAGATGAAAATAGACGCTGAATTAAATACTTGGCACATTAGCAATGTCATCATACAATCTAGATATGTGAAGGTTTGCAGCAAATTAGCTGTTTCTAATTGGTCGCCAATTAAACAATAAATAATTACTCCTGAAGCATCATAATAACCACGATTTTATCCTCGAAGGCTAGTGCACATTTAGACTACATTAGATAATGCATACTAATAATATAATCGCAAATGGTCTGTCTGTAACAAAATAGACAAAAACTACTATTCCACGACGATACGACTAAATGTATCCTGACGTGAAGATGTATAAGATTATGAGGAAAAATAGAGATTATCTATAATCTAATAAATAAGAGACGAAGTCGCTAGTAAAAGCCAGTTTGTCAAAGTTTATTATAAATTCTATAGCGTAACCCTAAAGTCACGTCATTGCTCTTTACGTGTCATTGATAATATATAACTAACAAGATAAATGTTTTTACATTATGATAAGGCATATTGTATGTAAATATTGTAATGATTATGTTAATTTACTTATAAATCATCTTTTGTCTGTACCTAAAAAGCCTCGATTAATTAAACTAATGTCATCTAAATATATCTATTTTAGATTTATTTTTGTTGATCTAATAATGTAATGATTTGTTTATAAATTAATTATAATGATAAAGTACACAATAATGACGATAATTGTTTTTCTGGGTACTTTATTTCAATTAATTATTAAATTAAAATTCGTATTGACTAATACCGAATAATTAGTATGTAATGAATAGATGTAATGATTTTATATTTATATACATTTTCTATTAAAATTGTAACTACAGAAATTTCATAAGAAGAATTACTAATGAAATATTGTTTTTTGTATGTTCCACAAAAATATATACTAATACATAAAGAGTTATAGCCATTATTAGAATTTTTAATGACACATAAAACTGTATTATATTAGTTACGGTTAGGTACGGTTTAAACTGCTGTTATCTACTTTCGTTTTGAAATTAGAAATAAGGCCGTTTACATAAAATAGACATATGTACATACTGGGGATTTGCAAGTCTGCACAGTTATCCAATATGTTCTCTATTCGGAAATATATCGTTATATCCTCATAGATAAAAGATAAGACCTACTTGTTTAAAGAAAGAGGTCTGAAATAAATTTGGTGCGTATCGTAGTCGGCATAAGCAAGAGCAATTTTTTTTTATTTTACATCGACCGCAAATGTAATGTGCCACTGACAAAGTAAAGGGTTTTTGAATAATTGTTCACAAAATCAAACACTGTTTATTTAAAAACAGAACATTATTTTAAATCTTTATTAGCTCAATTAACATTGATACAAATAAGAATAATATTTTGATATAAATTATTCGCACAGCGCCATCTAGTCCCAAGCTAAGCATAGCTTGTGTTATAGGCACTAAATAACTAATAATTTTACGTAAATACTTTTTTGTACAAAATTATCAAATACATTCATTGTTAATCATATATGCATAAAATACTATACACTTAAGTAATATAATGTATATTAAAGACAGTAAATATACTTACGGATTGTTTAATTCGATTTCATTAATCGTATACAAGATATTCTATCTTCGTTACTAAGTAAATATACCGTTTACTGGTTCAATTGGAACCTTATTAAATATTTCTAATATTCTTACTATATAACTCTAGGCGTGACTCGAACCCAGTACTCAGGTATAGTGGTGATGATGCCCTGCAGGCGTTGCGCGGGGACTTGTAGCGGGCGGCCCCCCGCGGTCGACACTCTGAACGCCTGCATGAATGCGGCGAACACCTGGAACATCGCCTGACGCGCGTACGTCTCGCCAGCGCACAGCCGTCGTCCTAGGAAACAACATCAAATTATATATATTACTAGCAGTTCCCGCGACTTCGTCCGCGTGAAATTTAACTTTATTTTTCCAAAATAAAAACTTAGGCTAACTTACTCCATAATACATCAGCTACATGCCAAAAATAAAGTCCCGTCAAAATCGATCCAGCCATTTCAGAAGTTAGCCGGAACAAACAGACAGACAGACAAAAATTGTGAAAAATGTAATTGTTATGTAAGTACCGTATTAATATTCATATGTGTGTAGTAAAAAACGGTTATTTCAATATTACAAACAGACATTTCAAGTTTATTTACATTTATAGACTAGCTAACCTGCGCAACTTTGTCTTCATCATTAGATTTCGCCCAATTTGTATAATATCTTTTCACTTTGTAGCCTATGTGTTAATCTTACGTATAAGCTGTTTAATTAATAATAAGTTTAATTAAAACCAGTCAGTTTAATGCGTGAAAGAGTAACAAATTTCCAACCATCCATCTATAACCACAAACTTTCGCATTTATAATATTAGTAAAACATATAATATTTTTAAATGTAACAGCAAGCAAGCTAACGCCTTCCTTGAGTTGAATAAGTGGTTAATCGCCTATTTACATGAAGAGCACTGTGGATATCACGTTATGATTTGAATTTGGTTGGACAACAAACAAACATTGTCTTCCTGATTAGCACGTCAGAAAGACTGTTTGTTTATATGTCTGTAACACTTTATTGTACAGTAAATACATTTAAAATAACAGGATACAACGATTTTAATAAATAAATTGTATAACAGCGGATTTCTCCAAAATGCAGTCGACCTTTGAATGACTGATGTCAATGAATATATTTTATTTATTTAATTCAAGCTACTACATGATGATGGTGATGATGAAAGGCCCATAAAACAAGTTTATAAAATAAAATTACAGCAACTTATTTAATGAAACTGAGTTACCCATAAAGCCAACTTTTTACAAAGTCTACTACCACCTGAGTAAATGAAAGTAATTACGCAATCCAGCTAGTATAGAGAGAGAGAGAGAGAGTCTATACACTATGAAACATACATTATACGGCTTTATTAGATCTGTTATAGAAGGTAAGGAAACAATGATGTACAAAATAGATTAAATAATTTGATTTTGCGCAAGTTATAGTAGATATATTACCAACAATGTGATGTAGATTACAATCGGTAAACTTATTTATGAAACCCCGACCTAACATAACAGATGAATAATACATATAAGTTGCTAAAAAAACATATAACAGAAAGAACGTTTTTAACTATTCCGACCGTACCTAACGCATTATTTGCTGGATGACCACGCTGTAATAGTTATTAGCGGATGCTAATTTTCAAAAATGCATAAGAACCTTAGGCATTAGAATTTAAAATATATCTACGTATATTGATTTGCAAGGACTTCGAACCTAGGCTCAGTCCTCGTAATTTTGATCACTGTTTCAATGCGACAGGATATCAGTCGAAAGGACCACATAAAAATCTAGATATGTGAATGTCTATTGTTTATGAAAAATCTACAATTTGCCTTACCTGCGCCGAATGGTAAAGACCTGTCACTGGCAACACTTAAATGATCATCAACGATGAATCTCTCAGGGCGAAAGTTCTCGGGGTCTCCCCATATCTTCTTGTCCATATGCAGCATTGTAAAGTTGGCAGCAACCATGGTATTCTGCAACCAGTCGAGAATTTGCAAAAATGTATATGAACATTTTTAAAATTCCATATTCATTTAATTTTATTATGGTAGGTACTGCAAACCAATGTGAGATTTAAATATATAATGCTTTTTAATCGAAATGAATTTTGTCTTGGTATATATAGATTATTGAAAATAAAAACAGCCATATTTACACAGAGGGTAAATTCCGTATCAATTTAGTCAATCAAGCATTCCTTGACTTATTTATAAAATAAGTTTTAGAAATTCTATATCTAGCTAAAAGTGAGATCGATTCTAAACACATTTCATCTGAAGTACTCTATTTTACACAATAGTCACTGGCCGCTGTATAAACTAAAATCTCTATCGATTCTTCAGGGTGTGTGTGTTTGTAGCTGTTCTTAGTAAAACAAGCACACAAACAGTAAAAATACTAGCAGGTGTCAAATTCCTCAACCACATATCAATATATTGTAAAAACGAGGAGGATTTCAATTTGGTGTATTATAGTTTTGTTTCTGTTACTCAATATCTTAGAGAAAAGGAAATAAATTTTAACTCTTCACTCTCTATTAATGTCTTTAAGATTAGTTGTTGTATTTGTGAAAAAAATATACCTAATCATTCAAATGTCTAAGGCTAACGTAGGAGACATCTAACTAGTTCTTCACTATATACGTTCAAATACTTCGTTTATTTTTTATGTAGTTACATAAACATAAATAAAAAATAAAGAAGACCATCATAATTTTCTCTACTAGAATAGAGAAAATTATGATGACCTATCTATAGTAAGTGACCACCATGCGCATCACATCATCATTTGTTGTCTATGGTCCCTTCCTCTATCTATCCCTCTTGGTTTGTCATTTTAGTAGATCTATCGTGTGTCTATGTGTCGCTCCATCCCCTGTAATTTTATGCACTAACTCTCATTAAAAGTTATCTTACACTTGCATAAGAGAGACAGGGTCAACCAGACTTTAAACAGGAGGAGGACCACTTTGTGCAAAGTCTAGTAGTCATACCGTATCTCAGAAAGGTTGTAGTATTTTTAACGCAATATCATTGACTAAGAATCAATTCAATGAGATGACTATGTATAAAAAATAGTAATACCTACCTCTGGGACATGGTAACCCCCAATGGTGGTATCGACGATAGCTCGGTGAGGTACTCCCAGCGGCACAATGGATTCGTACCGCATCATCTCCCGTAAACAGGCTTCTGTGTACGGCATGCTGAGCGAACATTCGGAACAAATGTCACAATTTTAAAGTAAATTCGCCTTATGTATATCTATACAATAAAAGTTTCTTAGCATTCCATAGATTTACGGTACGGGTGCCAGGTCCATCGTGTGGCAGAGAGGGAAACTCCGAGCAGTTCCCGGAACTTGCCCATAACCCAGGGTAGGGTTTAGACCCCTTTATGCTACATGACGTACGTCACCTTCGCCGCTTGTTCTGTCTCCCTGTCCATCAAATTCTGGTAGGAGTCTGCCAATATTGCTATTAGATTCACGTTCTGGTATAGAACCCACTGCAGTTACAGACAGGCCAAAATGTTTTAGAAAATTGTAGAGAGATTTCGTACCTACTTATACCTCTCGCGGTACACAGTATACTATACTATACATATAAATAAAATTGGAGTGTCTGTTTGTAATATTGAAATAATCGTTTTTTACTGCATGCATATGAATATAAATACGGTACATACACCAAAATTGCATTTTTTACAATTTTTGTCTGTCTGTCTGTTTGTTTTGGCCAATCTCTTAAATGACTGGACCGATTTTGACGGGACTTTTATTGGCAGGTAACAGATGTAATAAGGAGTAACTTAGGCTACTTTTATTTTAGAACAATAAAGTAATGTTGCAAAATTTCACGCGTACAGCTAGTTATAAATAAGAATGGATGTCTCTCTGTTATGTATTTGTCAATATTGCCTTCCTTTTCACAACAAAACGGCCAAACGGATTTTAATATAATTTTATATAAAGACAGATTCTGTCACGAAGACGGACATTAGCTATATTTTATCTTAAAAAACAATCTGGAATTGTTGGTAACAGCGAGTCTTGTTATAAATTAGTTCAACTTCTAGTTGGATAATTGGAGTTAAAGTTCAAGTATAAAATTGCCATTATGAATAATATTACACTATAATAAATTGTTTTTAGTGACATTTTTAGGTATCACGCTTTTTTAAATAATTCATAATCAATATTTAAAATTTCTACACTGAAATAAGTTTTAAAAGTAGTCCAAGTCCAAGCTAGTTCTAAATAAATGCGTGTCTCTTTAGTACCGTTCCATTAAACGACATTTGACATGATGGTAAATAGTATCACAAGGATGGGCATATGTTATCTTTTATCGAAAAAAAGTAAACGAAATCGCGAGAAATGTTTTTGAATAACAAGTGCAAAAAATATAATTATTGCATATAGTAAAATATATAAATACTAATTTCATTCTAATAAACTATATGATAATAAATAGAAATCATAATTATGCAATGTGCTGACATAACAGGCAATTCCTCACGCCATTTAGGCAATCACTGCGAAAGGATTTCTTTCAATTAATTACCACCGGTTTGTAAGTCATTAAAATTTATTTCATCCATTTTTAATTATATACTTCATTAATATTCTTTACGAAAATGTATATTATAAAGATTTTAAGATTTTATAATGATTACAAATATTGATTATATATATGAATATATTAAAAGTAGGTAAGATATTACGTCCTTTACCAATATATGGAATGAAAGTACAGATAATGTAGGTCGTAATTTTAAAATATCTGGTAAATATACATATAGTACAGTTTAATAGGTCGTTATTATTCATATATTAATCATTTAATAATTCGGGTGAAGTTTACAGCCACTCAGGTCACAAACCAGGACACGATAGCGAATAATTAATACGAATTTAAGTATCTCTTTCGAGATATTCAAAATATCTGTTATATTATGTATTAGGGGCCTAAATGGATATTACGGTTATAGAATTCATACTATGTCGTAAAAATAGCGAATAAATTATAGGAATGTAACGTAAGTTAAATAAGCATATTTAACGATTAAGCGAATAAAAGAAAAACGGTAAAAAAATATAAATAAAAATTACAGTTGTTATTTCTAAGTGTATGTATTGATTCAATTGAAAACATGCAATTAATTAAAATATATTATTTAAAAGATTCACTGTAATTTATATATTGCAAATTCAATGTAATTAGACAATTCAATGCACCAAGTTCTTGACTTAATGCTTGACCTTATTGTATTGTATTGTATAAATAAATATTTTCATTACAAAAAGCAAACTTGACCTGTCAAGATTCTTCTATCAATCATGTGAACATTGTATCTTATTGATTTTATTAACATCGATAACAAGAGTTTAAGGGTAATTCTTATCGCGATACAGAAATGTCTCAAAACCCTCACCTACATATACAGCATACGATGATCATCTGAATTCACAGGGTAATATCTTATTCTTCTAGAAGAGTCTAGAATGTAAACGCATCAATCACATGGTAACGATACCGATGGGCGTACTATTCTTGTATATATAGGTGTAAGCCACGTTTATATATTACTCACCATCAGGCGGGCCATCAGCTTGTTTACTATTGCAGTTACATTAAAAAAATACTTCATATACTCGAGAAAAGAAGTAAAGTCAGCAGTTTAAAACTTCCCCATTTCGCTAATCCTAATATTCAATTCAACCACGAAATTTCCGTAGAGTCCTATTAACCCTAACAAAATTTTAATTGTACAATTAATTGAATTTGTCTTGAATTATCTCTATAGGTACGAACAAAGCAATGGAATTATAAACATTTTTCTTACTTTTTTCGATCGTCAAGGTTGGGCAGACGACCATTACCAACAACACGGTCTATCTCCTCGTGTATCTTGTCCTGTATTTCTGGTTGCAACAGGAGACGTTCTACCAGCAATGTCAGGACAGTCTCTACCGCTGACGCCGCAGGGAACATGTAATCGATGCAGATCAGTATCAGCTGGTCCACTGAAACGTATTCTCTATTAAATTTTCATTTTTTTAACTATTAATGTAGCTGGCCTTTACTGAACTATATTGGGACGAGTGAAGATGGCACTACTGCCTGATAGAAATTACTTAAGTCTGATGAAACTACCAGGAGTTCAAACTCAGCCCGTATTTGGTCTTTACAGCTTTATCGAACTATATTGAACGACTTTAGTCTGAGAGAACTACAAAGTATCGATCGGAGAGGAAAATTAAATTACATTACTTAAAGTTACAATGTATAAAATATGGGGTCGTGTTGAAAACGATCTGATAAAATGTTGTAATAAACGTAGGTACAATAATTTCCTCATCGACATTTGCTAATGGTGGCTAAACCGCCTCTCTCTATTTTATCTTTCTTAGCTATACCTACTATTATATAAAATGCTGCATATGCTAACTCCTGAATTTCCTCATCAGTGTGGACTTGACACTATTGTTTTTTTTATTGTTTTTCATGAATTCTATAAAAATAGGAGAGACTACGAGTATTTAGATATTTGACAGCACAAATAAAAAAAATATATATATATAATTATGTAAAATAAATATATAATTATGTAAAAGTATGTTTTCAAAGTAGATAGCTGTATATAAAGTTTTATAACGATTAGTTACGACTGTTCCTAAGGAAAAATTATTAATAATATTACTTTGTCAATTTTTTTTTAATTGAAACAAAGATAACTTGACATATGTCAATATAAGGTCATCATGCTCTTAACAGGAAACCTATTTACAATATCAGTGTGTAAGTACTTGTCTACATAATAATAAGCAACATACTATAGTAATATAAGTATAATTATGTATTTGAAGATAATAACATGTTATATTTGCATCTACTTATTACTTATAGAAGGTAATATATATGTACACAGGATACTAGCTATTTTTGTGTTAGAAATAACTTTATAACTCAATTTTTTGAGTATCTGCTGTTATACTTCCAGAGATGTTTTAATAATAATAATCTTAGCACAATTCACACAGCGCCTCTAGACCCAAGTTAAGGTAGCTAAAGGTTGTGTTATGGGTACTAAATAACTTATGACAAATAGAGACATTTTTTTTGTTAATACATACATCATACTCATGGATACAAATGTTTGTGCCGTGCGAGGAATCGAACCGGCGACCATCGGAAGTAAGGCGGTGTGCTAAACCGCTGGTATACCGAGCCCGTCTATAAAATTAATTAATTTCTAACGTGGTCAGATTAAATGAAATCGAACATATTACATCCTCAGGGGGGAGGACTGATAGTAAGGGACTAGTGGCCCATTGCTAGCAGAGTACCATGTCAGTTGAAGTCTACACGGTTCTTCCTAGAAACTACTTCTAACAATGCCACTCTTCAAATGTAGAAAATGACATCGCCTTTCTGGCAAAGGGTACGGTTAAAGATCAGTTCGTTATATAGCGTAATTTTAGAAATATTCAGTAGGTAATGTCATACAGGCAGGGCCAGATTAAGCATTACAGAAAAGAAAAATTATAGTAAATAGAAAATTATCCTCAATAACAATAGTTATTGCTTCCTTCGACGCCTATTTTCTTTTAATGGTACGTAATAAATGTAATGTAGCATATTTCTTACCAGAATATGTAGATCGCATATTCTGACCAAATTCCTCTTTCATCTTTTTAATGTAAATATCAAGAAAATGGCGCTGATATGATTCGTCGTAACTTTCCAACTCTTTGTTGATAATGTTCTGAAAGTTAGTGTGTAAATTTTACATTGATATTTTATTACCAGACTGTACAGTATTAATCTATCTCATCATTTTTGGTATGATGGCAAACCAAGAAAATGCAGAAAGTTATATACCGTAAGGTAAATAGTTATACATTTTTTTTTTTTTTACTTTATTTGTTTTCGGAAACGTTATGGCCTATTGATTTAATACCCTGTAGTACATATATGAAGATGTAATATTATATTTCTGACCGACTTTCGATGTAATAAACACAGATATCAAACCTAAAATTATTGCGAGAGATGGCGATAGGTTCGCTCGTTGGATTCAAATATACCGAAAGAAATGTGGGCGTGTCAAGTGTTGCATTCACCAAAACATCGACTGTTGACAATGACACTGACTGATGGACTTTATGTTTTTGTTATTTCAGCTATAAGTAGTTAAAGTAAATTGTATTATTAAATAAAATACTGGAAAAAATACTTACTGAGAAGAACTCGACCAAGTACTGATTGTTAGTTTTTAACCCATGGTATCCACTCCACTTGGGGATAATATTTTTCAGCCACGGTGTGAGTGTAAGTGCTCTACCTACGTCGTCAGAGCTCCGTTGGAAACCTAGACTCTTACGAGCCACCTCCCAAAGGATGTGGTAGTCGGATCTCGGTAATGTCATTCGGCTAATCACGTGCAACATCCCATTTATGAATGGCACGGCAAAATAGTGGGGTAGATATATAAGCTCGCCTTGAACCAACTCCTATTAGATTAAACACTTTTCATTAATAGAGGGATAGTTTTTAAAAATTGATTCGAATTGGAAGACATATTACATAATTTCAACACACTAATGTATCGGATAGTCTCAAGAAAACAAATGTTTTTTATTGAACAGGGATTGAACTCGCAGACTCGTTTGACAGTCAGAAACTACTAGACCACCAAAAATACAAAACTCTGTATAAAATTCGATTATTTCTGTTGTTATATTAGTCAATTAAATAAACATCGATTTTTTAACTAATTGTCGTCAAAATTTTAGAATCAATTATTTTTTTACAACCCTATGCAAATTAATTGAAAACATCAAGTAAAATATCTGTGTCGTCTTTGAAATAAATCGATAATTAATTAATAGATTTTTAAAATTTTAAAGTATAACAATTATTTAAAACAAGAGAGAAAATATATTACGGCGCCCCAAATAAATGGGAAGAAGCAGATGATGAGTGTAATAAAATATATTAATATTTTTTTTATTACATTCTCGGCCGGGTACATCGGTCCATTAATCCGCATGTCTATCATCGCTTTAACTTCACTTTCAAGTACTGCCTCCAAGGTTTGATCTCGCCTGCCGAACCCAAAGTCCCTGAAATGCCGCAGTGAATAGCGCCTCTGAATGTACCAAAAGTAGCTGTCGGTGAAGAAAATACCTGAAAATATTGTTTAATAATAAGTATAAGTATCTATAGTCGATAGTACACAATAGCAAGACGTTCGAAACTGATATATTGAAAGAAGAATAAAAATATGTCTATGTATTTGACACATACCTATCTACCACATAGTTGTGGTTTAGTCTGTTGTTTACAAATAGACATTTAGCCTGTGATTCGATTGTAAGGTGTCCAGCACCTTAGGTAGTGAAATTGTAGGATAAGAGGCATTACATATTTATACCCACTGGTTGAGTGATTACACGCTTTCAAATTTATGTAGTTATAAGTTATAGACGCTTCCCGGGAAACGCAAGATTTAATTTTAAAATCTAAAATTAACAATGAACTAATTGTTATAGCAAAGCGGATAAAAAACGATTTACGTTAGTTTTTTTATGTGACTGTAATGGCAATAGCTGATGATGTTCATGTACTTATATATATATATATATATATATATATATATATATATATATATATATATATATATATATAAACAGCAACACGGCCATCATGTCATCATGTGACGCCCGTGGTATCATTATTAAGGTGTCATTATGGAAGACTAAAATAAAGCTATTTTATCCTATCTTTTCATTGTCTTATCTACAACTATAATATTATAGTGATTTACAATTATCTTACCCAATTTCTTCCAATATGCTCGCAATCTGCCCACTATAATGTCCATGCGACCATCGAATTCCTCACGATTCAGCATCTCTTTTATCAAATCGGAGTCATTCAATACTATCGTAGGAAAAGAGCCCAAATATAAACCAACTAGTTTAGTCTTATATTTGTAACCAATCTTACGAAAGGCAGTGCTTAAATTGTTGAATTCGGTAGCTAGAATTATCCAGTAGGCGCCGTAAATTGGCAAACTTGGGGGTCCTAGACATGTAAAAGAAATATATAAGAATTAAAGTCTAAATATTACCTACCTATATAAAACAATAAAAATGTACCTTAAATAGTGTTTTTAAAAAAAGTCCCTAGTTTACATAATTAGGGAAATATTGTTGCTACAATACAATGGTTACTATCACGAAGTAAATTGTCAACTTTCAATAAACCTTAATAAATTCGAAATAGATTATGACGATTCTTTTTACAATTGAAAAAGTTACATAATAAACTGCAATAGGCTCATTAACGCATAAGGTTTTAAGTGCTCACCTGGAGGGAAGTTATTTGGTCTTTTATATGCATTTTTGTAAAAATATACAAACAGAGTTAATATTAAAATGCACGCAACGATTACACCGATCATTTCAATAGTGTTTTCATCAACAAACTGGCAGACAATATCTAAGCAGACCTATCTATTATACTACAAGGTCCTATACAAGTATCTATTATAGGTACATACTAGTATCTAGGGCCGTTCTTAATTCGAAATAGTACATACAAAGTCGCTATCTGCATATCTGTGTCTCCGCTTATGTCTTTTGAACTATGCAATATTTTTCCCTACGAAATTCCCTAGAATGCATGAATATGGATTTATGGTGCATACTTAGGGGGAAGTGGGGCAGATTGATGCACAAAAATTGAAAGCCTTTTTTAATATACTAAAAACATCATATTTCAACTTTTTTTTTTGCCGTGTGCATTGGTCAACAATTCAGGTTTATGTTATGGTACGAAATACCCGCTTAATTATATTAGATATAACGATATATTGATTTCAGTAAAAAAACAGTTTTGCATCATTCTGCCCCACCTACGGGGCACTTTGATACACGCATTGAGGCACTTTGATACAGAGTGGAAATTGTATGAATCTGGTTTAAATAATAACACTTTCATGTAAAATAATACATTTATTGTGAAATAATTAATTTATAATAAGTTTTACATTTTAACAAAAAAAAAACACTTGTTTCTTAACAAAACTAATACTTCAGAATATCACCATTATTCAAAACAGGATCGCTAAACAAAAAACAAATTATACTTGACTCGTTTATTAAAAATTAAATATAATAATCTAATAGGTTAACATAAATTCTAAAACTAAACTTTTCAACACGATTTTGTAGAGTTCCAGTTTAATACTTGTCATCTGCTTTCCGTATAGATAATCTCGTTGAAATAACTTTAGATACGGTCGACTTGATCGAGTCTTCACCTGTACTACGTCTTTCAGTATTTGGCTTATATGTTCGCACCATTTTCTGAAAATACAATACAATTTTTTTACAAAATTAACACTTTATTGAAGTCACGGGGAACATTGATACGTATCATTGTGCCCCGTACTGTATCAAACTTCCCCAAAAACAATTTTTATAAAAAGCAGTTTTCACTAAAGATACTAAGTTAATTATTGTAAAAAACGTGCAAAGTCCTTAATATTTGATGCCCTAACTTACCTTTGGGATACATTGATCATCACAAGATGGCTCAGCAGATCGTAAAATCACTTTTAAATCTCACGTATTTTTTTAGTTACCCGCGCTCGAAACATTTTCTCTCCTGCTAAAAGCCACCGGCTGACTGGCTGTTAGCGTAATCACAACGGTCGCGTTCAGAAGTTTAAAGACGTGTATCAGAGTTGTCACTACTCGAATACATTTAATCGTTTACGAAATAATACACGTGTATCAATGTGCCCCTTGTCCCAATCTGCCCCACTTCCCCCTACGCTTACGCTAAAGGTATACAACGGGGCACCAGTGAAGGGCGAAAGAATGAGCATGAAATTACTAATTAATCGTGATGAATTCACTTCGATTTAATTAGGTACAATGGTTTCCAGGAGGACCGAGATCGACTTGACTTGATGCATTGCTAGCAACCAACCGCTAGTCTTTATCACAACGATTACCTTTCGTCTGTACATCTTTATATCCAGTAGTTACAAACGACTTCTTCTGCATTTCTCTTAAAATAAAAGGTTCCGTTCTCGTAATATAATCTATTGCCGTATCAAGTTCCGGTAAGAACCTTCCAGCTATATTATTTTGAAAGTTCATTTATAAACAGACTCCCATACTTTCGCATTTAGAAATTACTAGTAGACAGTTACTATTTTGATGTTAAATTTCAATATGTGAAAAAGTAACAAACAGACTCGCTTTCCAATTTATAATATTAATATAGACTATATGAATTGTCTTAGTAGGTATATTGTTAAACGAGGAAAAGTCTGAACTAGCTACTAGTACCTATATCTAATAATGAGCGCACGAGCCAGAGGTTGCAACTTTGACCTAGGATAAATACAATACTTAACACAGATAAGCGCCACAAATAACATTATTTTGTAATTAGAAATCTAGGTGAAGTAAATTATTTAGATACTTCACCAAATCTAACAGCCACTTTTAAGCTCGCCAAAATAAATTACAGTTAAGTAGTGTATATAGTTAAGAATAATAGTTTTAAAATATGTATAAACGTGTTAGCTATTAGCTGTAAGTATATTATATAGTTATATTATATTAATTGAATAAATAAATAAACAGACAACATTAAAACAAAAAATACGTTTTTTTTTAAGTTATGCATAAAATGTACCCATCCTCGCTACCATAACTTTATATCTTATCACGTTAGTTTCTCCGAAAAAATAGCAGCAGTCCATACAGTAGCATAGCGGGAAAATACCACACAGCTTATGGGTTATATACCTATATATATATATATATATATATATGTTCAATTTCTTAAGTGCCCGGGTAGGATATTTTGGATCTCCCACAAAGATATGAATTTACGTATATTATATTACCTCTATTTTACAACACATATAAATAACATAGGTATTTATAGACAACAAAAAGAGTCGACATCGGTTATATATATTTATTACTTAAAAGCTGTGGCCGCGGCTTCACCCTCATCTTTATAGCCGCATCCGCAAATTTATAGCCTTATTTTATGTGTTATTCCGATATACAAGCTATGCTGTAAAGTTTCATCAAAATCCGTTTAGTAGTTTTTGCACGAAAGAGTAACAATCATCCATTTATACTCACAAACTTTCGCGTTTATAATATTAATTAATTACATTTCAGGAACGGAAAACAAACGTGTCAGTTACTTACTTTGAGATAAAAACTACGTCTTTTTCAAGAAAAATGAACAAATTTAAAATATTAGTTATATGAACCGAGATTATTTTATGTAAGTAATGCTTTGTAATTATTGATAGCCTACTAGCAATGTTACCGTGTTTTGTACAATATGTATATAGCTACGTACGTAGCTACTTACTATATAAGTCATTGAGGAAAGTATACAGGGGGTATATTTTATTTATTTGGAAAACTGTGATAAATAAAAGGCCATGGAGTTCGTAAAGACTTAAGCAAATAATAGTAGAATACGTATTCTGCAATTATTTAGTAGGTAGTAAATTATTCTTCTTAGATATAACAGTTCGTTCGTAAAAGTAACATCCGTTATTCTTAAGTACGTGACAAATTGTAATAATTAAAAAACAATATTAATTTTTCTACACGCAAATTTTATTTATATACTGGCAAACTGTGCAAAAGGGATAGAATCCCTATTCTAAAAGGTTTCATAAGAAATGTTATTTTGTACCAATTATGGACACTTACAAGGACTTAACACAAACTTATAATTAATGAAAAGATTTGGCGATATCGCCTTGAAGAATTTTTGAATTTCATGGAAATACTACTGAAGATTAGGCTGTATGGTCTCGTACCTTTGCCTATCCACTTGTGGATAAAATATACCACTACTACTACTGTTATTTTGTACTCTTATAAATGAAGTTAAAAAATAAACTGTATGGTCATAAATACATGGTTGAAATTCTCTTATGATATATAATTGTAATTTAAGTGTGACAGTCAGATCCACAGTGTACTTAAGTCTTAAATTTTGACGGTTTCAAAGTGTGTATTGATATCTAAAATAACAATAAACAGCACACAAAAAAATATAACATTAGAATTTTCAACCTAACGCGTTTTCAATAAGAACTTGTGTTACATAATCATTGAGTCCGTTTCCGAACCGATTTAAGTAATCCTAGTAGTGTTTGTTTTGTTTATCTTTAAATTACCGGTGGTAGTGATCAAAAACTATATGGAGATGGTAGTGAAAATTATGAAATAACCATTTAGATTTCTTCGTAACTCTGAAATGAATAAAACTGTGAGACTGTTTACTGCAAGGATAAAATTTTGTACATTTGTACAAATATCCTCAACATCAAAACCCACTTCTTCCGAAGTTTTATCCTCATATTTGATGCAATGCAATGAACCACCTTGGACCTCTTATTTCGTAAAGGTATTATCAATAAAAATCTTTTAGATATTTTAAAGTGGCGTATGCCCTTCGAGCACTGCGACTTACATAGAAGTAGGACTATCCCATAAAAATGAAATTGATAAATTTATCTCAAGTCTCAAAAAAACCTCTCTAAAATATCTCAAACATTTAACTTATTACTGTATTGATTGTCACTTGTAACTTTGTTATTACAAAATGTAAAATATATAAGGATAATTTTAGATTATTTTAGTTTTATTAAGGAGATGATATATAAAGCTTGATGCTTGTAAATGATGGCATTAAAACCATTTACACTTGTGTCAGCATACATTACCCATGCCTCTAGCACTGTAAAACCTTGACAAGCCAATCAGCACTTAGAATGTTTTATCGTGTTGTACAGGTTGTACTGTATGCCTTCTGCATATAGATCACCCAAAGGCTACATATGTACAAGGACTGACAATATCTTTTAAATAGTGTACTTACCCTTAACTTGTTTTTACAACATACAAACTGGCATGCCAATATATAATAATACAATAAAGTTATTTAATATAAACAATTCAGTATTGTAATATATTTAAAATGACATATACATATTTTTTAAGATTATGTCTCAGATCATTTAATGTAAAGAATAAGTGCTACATTATCTTTATACATTATGTCATTGTTTCAGTACAGAAGTGTAAAAGATGATCAATTTGGTATGTCTAATTTCAACTGGAAAGTTGGGAATTCAAATTACCAAATATTGCGCACTGGATGTTTTCCATACATGAAATATCATTGCTCGAAGAGGATACCCGAAGACTTAGAATTATCTGATAAGTTTATGAGAGTTATTAAAATTGTTAATTTAGGTAATTATTTTCATTAAATTAACTTTTTATATGTGATAGCAAATAAGCTGACTGCCCCTTGATAATATTGGCAAATTACCACTCATTGCCGTTGCAGAGGACTGAAATAATATGCTTCTTATCCTGAAATTTCAGTGTCCTATCTGTACCCGACATTAGCCACAGATTTCTAAGCAACCTGCTTGGTGGCTGAAATAGAGCAGACAAAACAATCCACACCAATGACATTTTACAAACTACCTCTAGTAAACTGTAATGAGTTAACTTGTATTAAAAGAATATTAAAATTAGTTTTGAATACTTTATTGTAAATAATCTTTTGTAAATGATAATAATTTAATGTATTTCAGGTATACCATGTTTACTTTATGGTCTTGCAGCAACCCAACTAATCAAGCATAAGGAAATAGTATACACAAATAAAGGTCCTGTTACAATATATTTTCTACTACCTGAACATAAAGGGTCCCAATACTAATAATAATAGTTGAATGAATGGGATTATCAGTTGTGCAATATATTTATTATTAGAATAAAGTACTAAGACGTAGTTTGTATTTTTAATTACAATATACAGTAGGTAAAATGTGCTACTTAAATGTTTAAGAATCTGAATTATATTGTCTAAGCATATTGAAGTAGGAATAAGCAGTGGTCGCGATCTGAAAAAAAATAATGCTCTTAAATATTTTAAATTAAATCCTACTATATATATTAAATACTATAAACTAATATTAAAAATGTCAGAGTTTGTTATACTTTCACTGTTTAACTAATAAATCATTTGTCGGAATTTGAAACATACTTATTGGTAAAGCAGGTAATTTTTAAAAAGAATTGAAATCAGTAAAGATATTGAGTTTTATTAATTATTCTTTACTTATATAATTCTTAAAAATCAAAGTCGTGAGTTCTAATGTGGAAGACGCCAAACAACTTTGTGTTAATTTATATTATTGAGTTGACTCCCTCTATTGACTTACTCTGAATTCGAGTTCGATTCTAAATTCGAGAGACGGTGCGAATTCAGAAGTACACCCTTTACGTTGGTTTCCATTATAACCAGCAAAATTTTGACATCGCAAAAGTTGCATGCAAACGTCACCAGTTGACATTCCTTCTGACTCCATCTAAGAGAAAATTCATGAACGTATTGTGCATGTCTTAGATTCAGTTTTAGTTAGAACTAATGCATTATGACTGCGATGCGTGTTCGATTGTTGATATGCGTTATAAGCCCATATAACAACAAATTAAATAAACGCAGCAATTGGACAGTTTACAAATATTTCACCTACACTCACTCATTACTATGATACTATAGGAAAAAAATTAAGTAGCGACCCTCATCGCATCATACAGAACGCTAGAAGTGATGCATTACGCTAGAGTATAATTTTTATCAATATTAATATAATTATATATATGGGTACTGAGGAAAATGTCTCCAGTTGCAATTGCGGTAGCCCAATAAACTTGATGGTGACAGGTCGCTGCGAGCGTTGTATCACAAGCACCATGTCAGAGCGTATCAGTACGCCGAGACGTGACTTATGCCAGCCACTGTTCCAACACGCGTCGCCCACTGCGTATCCCTGCACGTATTTTTTTTTAAATATATATATTATTATGCATATTTTTTTCCCAATATCTCGATCGAATGGTGCGATCATCCATTGAGAAAAAAATATGCAGAATGATGCACCCGCTTGCGCTAACAATATACGCTGGTGGGGCACCAGCGGAGCATGATAAGATGATGAGTGTGTCAAGTCAGTTAGCCCATCGTGGTAAATCCACCATGAACAGGGGGAACCAATAGAGATTAGCCTGACATGATACATTGCTAGCAATGGGGTTATTATTAACAATCCACTTGTCCCCTAATTTAAGCACATTGTATTCGCTATTTGATATGGGTGACGAGACGTTCTTATTTGTGGAAGAATACATTGTTAAAAATCAATTAATAGGAAAAGGTACTGAAGAAGAGTAGGCGCTTGCAAAGATTGTTGATGAAGATTGCAAAGATAAATTAAACAAATAGTTGTACGTGCTATCATTGAAGCAAATTACTTCAGAGTATCTTCATATAGGACATGTTTGCCTAATGTTTTGTAGTTTTGCTATAGTATTTGTAACCACGTGAGAGCTCTATAACAACTATTTCAGGCACCCAAGTTTCTTTGGTAAACCATCAGCATGGACGTATGTACGAAAAATGAACAGTATGGACGTATGACATGATGGTCCTCTAGAATAACGACGTTTATTTTTAGGTGTATACCTATATATAGGCAAAAGTTGTCACCTACCATCGGGTGATATGTCAGCTTGTTTACCATTCCAATGAATACACAATTTGTAACGAGGATGCCAGTTATTTCAGTAAATATTTACTTACTTTGTCGCGTATTAATGTACCCATGTAACATGGTATCCACAACTGAATACAGCAACCAACGAATAACATTATAAATATTATATCAATTTGTCCTTTCTCCAATTTCTAAAAAATAAAACATATTGAATTAATGCCATTATGTATAAATAAATAGAAAGTAAATAGGCAATAAAATTGCTATCTAAACAAAAAAAGGTTAAAATAGCTGATTATTGCGGTTTTGCCAGCTCGGAATTAGTATTCCTTGGGCGAAATTTTTAAAAATTCTTAGTAATTACCTATAACACAATTACTTAAACCTTATTAAGCACAAAACTCTAGAAATTAGAAGTTTGTTATAGGCATCGCCTTTTAGGTGCATAACCTGTCAATCAATAGGTACAGAATAGAATATTAAAAATGAAAACAGTAATTAGTAACATGCAAATGTTTATTTATTTTACTTCATGTAGTGCATTTCATTATCATAAGTATTACTCACATCAGCGACTTGGAAAGCCAATAAACACAAACCGATAGCGGAGAATAATACTTGATACACTAGTGGTGGTCCAAACACGGATGATACTGTTTTCACAGACCTACAATAAAGTAACCAAGTAAGTGGGTAGATACCCTGATAATGTAAATGTTAAAAAAACTAATATCGAATGAAGGCTTATTATTATTATTATATAACTAGACTCTTAATGTAATCTACTTGAGTACCTCAGTCTCGCCTATTTCAACAGCAGTTTGCTTTGTAAGCTGTGTTTTGGTTATGGGGTCAGATTAGTTACGGGATAAGAGGTATGACATCTTAGGCCTCTAGAATACAGTGCATGAGTGTACACGTCATGACTTTTTCTTTGTTGAAAATGGAATCGTATATCCGCTTGTGGAGTATCAGTGATGACTGATGGGATGAAGATGAAGTTAGGTCAATTCGTCATTCACCAGGAATTAACAATGGTGGTGCAAAGTCAAAATAATTTATTCATTTTGATTGATACCTTCGACTACTAACGGGATACCAGGGCGTTTTCCTCATAATAGTTTGCAGTGTACTTGCATAAAGATATTCTGTATATCAGTTGCTTTACCTCATAATAAACTTACATATGACATTGTGGTTATCTCAGGTGATCCGTCAGTTTGTTTGCTATTCGAATTATATATAAATAATCTTAATTGTCGTAAATATGGTAAGATATATTAATAATAATAATAATAATATAAATACTTGAATACTAAATTATGCCGCTGGACGATCCGCTTCATTCTAACATTCAGAGTATGCTGTACTTCCATTCGTAATGGGTGCTGTGGGGACAAGTGTGTCACTGTTTCATCTAGACCATCAAATAATACTTCAAAGTCCTTGATAATTATATCTAAGACATAGTAGTAATGTAGTAAGATGTGAAGCAGCACAGAAATATATCCTGTAAGTGTTCAGATGATATTATTTACTATCGGTTAAGATTTGGGTACTTTCAGCCATATTCACATATCACATTTATAATCAAGGTCACACGAATGTATGCCAGACATGATCCTAATAGACATAATTTTAATGTAACAATCATTATTGCTTTGCCTTTATTCCATTATTTGGGGCAGGCACAGTATGTCATCGTCTTCCAGTGATTCCTATCGGCCGTCATATCTGGGCATACTCTCCTTTTATTCATATCACCTTTCACACAATCCATCCAGCTTTTTTCTTAGTTCTCCTCTTCCTTTCCATCCATCCTCGGTCATGTTTAACAATATTCTGTAAAATATGTATAAATGCTTCATTTTTTTGCGCAAAATCTATCCTGCATTTTCCTGTCTGTATCTACTGCTTTTGTCTATGACTTTGACTATTTTGCGTCACTAATTTATTTATGTATAGGTAATATATAGGTAATTATGTATAGGTAAATAGGGTTGCTACTTAATTTCGAAAAATGGAGTTCTCACCTAAAACCTCTGTAACTGTCCTAACCAATTAGATGCATAAATATAATGTTTTATTATTAAACAAAAAACGATAATATAGGGCATTGGCTCTATGAAGTGTTTTTCTGATAAATGAAGAATTTGTTTTTTCTTCGAAATATACTCACCACAAAATGATTGAATTACAATAGCCAAATAACAAGTTTCTATGAAAGCAAATATTTCATAGTTGGGCGTCCTGTACGGATCATCCTCCGGTAGCCATATGGGGAACATTAACGGTCTGTTGGTATGACTGTCAGGAGTGTTGGCCAAACTCTGCACCAGTAAAGTGCCCATCATCAATAAAAAGTTCATAACGGCAATAATTGACGTGTATATATACCATGCGTAACATAGCTTACGTATCATCAACTGACCCTTCAGAAAGTAATCCCTAAAAGCAGGAGCAAGTTATTATTATTAAAATCGGTTAGTATATAATATTTAAAATATTGTAGCACTTCTAATTTTACTTGTATAAATTGTCTTTTTAAGGTAAAGCCACTGTACGTTTACATGATTCATGAACATACATTCATGTCATGTAACATATCTAAGATGGTTATTGATTTCATTAAATAGGAAAGTTTATTAATACCAAAATAATATGACGCCATAATCCTTTATCTCAAAATTAGCCAGTAGACTCAGTTCTGCTGCATATGCAATTAGAAGAATGAAGATGGCCCAGCGGCTAAATTTGTATATTTTAGTAATTTCCATAGTATTATGTCATACATATGGCATACTGCTGTGGGGTAAAGCAGCCGATGTAAATAAAATATTAATTTACAAAAGACAGTCATACGTTCTATTTATGGTATGAGTTCTAGAGTGTTATTATCTACGTCAGTGCTTTAAAGAATCAAATATCCTCACCCTTACTTTACAATACATTTATGAAAATATCATGTACCTATATCTACACGGAAGAATGGAGAGACTTTTAAAAAACTTAAAGACTACATCTTAAAACTTACGCAATAAAATTAAACTAATTTTAAGTAAGTAATTAATTACAATTTAATTAACAGTAATTCATTCTATAGTAATTGCGTACGATTTTATAATAAACTGCCAGAATCTGCTCTAAATCTGACAGAGCGGCGAGAAGCAATTCAAATCCTATATTAAACAGTTTTTGTGTAAGAAAGCCTATTATAGGATAGACGAATTCATAGATGAAAACATATCTAGTAAATAATTAGTTTATTTGCATACAACCTTACAATTTTTTTATTTTATTGCTTTCTTGATTTTAATTATCTTAGAAATGTGAAAACGTAGCGGTTTTTGTATTGATTGCCGCATGCATTCTTATGTAAAATGTGAATAGTATAATTATCATATACCAATTTTAAGTAACTATGACCAGGCCAAATGTCTTGAGTAGTCAAGCTCACTAAAATGTCCAGATATGTGGCGGCGTGGTGGGCCGAGTCATTGGGCTCCCTAAAATATGGTTGAGCGCAGTGATGGCTGGCTCATCCGTCATAGTCGTGAACGAGTACTGCTTGTAGGGACTGGTGTGCTCTAATCACTACGACTGATTTATTCTTATTTAGTTACTTAATCAGTTCATTGTATATTCAATATTGTCTTTATTTGAGTATTTAATTGAATTACTGCTAGTTGATAGTTTGCTTATACAAACTATCAACTAGCTATTATTCACAACTTTTACTTAAAAATGGAAAGTAACTATAATATTATTTAAAAGAGCAACATGCAATTTCTTGCTCGTTCTTCTTGTGATGAGAAAGTTTTCCGAATGAGCGGTAGATTAAAAAAAACGTGTCATATATTTTCTATTGCATTCCATTCCACTCCACTCCGCTCCACTCTTCACATCTTCTTGGGGCGTGCGGACGGACAACCTCCTCGTATGTTCCAGCCATTGGGAGGTCCTCCCATCCTCGTGGATATGTCCGCGGGGAACGGTGGCCGATCAATGGTTTGGTTCTGGTACGCCCTGGACGGGAAGGGGAGCGCGCCGCTCCCCTTCCCGTCCAGGCTGGGACAATGGGCCCAGGTAAGGCCCGTCCCGGCAGTTAAGCATTGCGTTGGTGGCCCGCTCCTGTTATGACTTTACTTTATGTAAATACACGTGCGGAGCAGGTGCGGCTCTGTGTAGGCGGCAGTCTCAGGGGTTCAAGTCTGCCGTCCACACAACAAGAGCTGAGATGGAGGGGAGACGCATCGCGTATTCCGGTGCATCTTCCCCACGGTGGGCGGAGATGGGGGAACTGGAAAGAGTTCCCCCCAAGCGTTGAGGAGGACCCGCTTGCGGGTAACCGCCACTGGGGTCGCAGTTGATTGCGAACTCAATCCCGCAACCCTGGCACTATAGCGGTTAGGAGGAATATTGTGGGATTTTTGGTGAGTAGGAGTCTCACAGTACCCGTCCGTCCAACCCCTGAAACTGGTGAGTGTGAGTGTGACGGGTGAGTCTCCATGAGAGATTTTCCACACGTAAGAAAAAAAGTATGACATCTTCCACCGCGAGCGTGGCGTCTCCTGTAATCCGGCTACTAAGAAGTCCCCGGAGTAGTCTGTATGGACAAGTAATGCGTAGAAATGAAGAGAATATTTTAAGGAAGGTGTTACATAGGAATGTAGATGGAAAGGGAGTTAATTACGAGATAACTGCGAACAGGGATTAATGGAAGAGAAAAACATATTACGCCGACATTAAATAAATGCGATAAGAAAGAAACAGATGATGATGATGGACGAATTTGGAGTGGTGCAGGTTCACTAAGCAGGGGCGAACCGGGCCAGAGGGAAAACCAGCAACCAAAGTCTAACATCTTCCACCGGTCCTTATCAGCCGTCATATATATACCTAACTACTATATAGAACAAAAACATAATATTTGTAAAAGAAACAGATACAGAAACAATACCTGTATTTAGGTTCCATTGTATGTATTAAAAGAAAATCGTTATCCATGTCATCTAACAATTTAAATATTTTTTCTCTGTTGCTAAGTATGCCACCATATACGGCAATTATTACCCCTAGTAATAAAAAATAAAAAAAGCATTCCGTTGCCACCGTGTAATCCTTCACGATGACGCCGTGAACAACACAGATACCTTGCAGAACTAAGCCAATGATAACAATTGAAATACATACAAAGGGCCATATGAATCTGAAAACAATAATAAAAAAATTTATTGCAATTAAAGATCTAGTGGATCTTTCAGTTCAATTTGTAGTTAGACGGTGTAACATAAGATACTAAGATGTAATCCAAAAACTTGCTAAGGAGCCATCAGCACCGCCTATTCACGATTCTACGTATCTTGATGTGTAGGTATAATAATCTTACATCCTATAGATTGTAGGCTGCCGGAAAACAGATTGTATTAAAATTTATCATTTTGTTCATGTTGTTTGGTATTTTGTATTCGCATAAAATCTTAAACTTTATTAGAAGTCGTCTACAGTCACGCGTGTTTATTGATAAGCAGCTTGCTTTGTATACTGCGTTTCTATGTGTTTCGTGTGTCGTTATTAAATAAGTTAAAAATAAATAATTGAACAGATACTTAACCTCAGAAGTGAGTTCCGATTATTAGTAAAGATTCCGGTGGCTGCTAAGAAAATGTACAATTGCGGATGAAAGTCTCTTAAGTTTATATTGTTTGAAATGAGATGATAGTTTTCTTTCAGTAAGATATTTTTTATGTTTAGTATTAAGTTCATTTTAATGAAAGATGCTTTACGTGGAACGGTAACTACGTAGAATGTTGTAACCTCTATACTCGATAATTTGATAAAATGGGACAATTCTATAATTATCTCATTTCTAGAAATTTGCAACAATTAACAATTATCTAAATTACTAATTGAAATATCATTATGGGTACTTACGGAATGACCAATCATGGATAGTTAACAACGAATTGAGTATCTACTTTGCTATTATTTTACTATCAGTTGCATTATTTTTTTTGTTCTAATTAAGTTGTACTTTTCAATATGGCCGTTTGGATAATTGATATTTTTGGTTCGAAGTTATTTTTTTAACAAACTGATTAAAAACAATTATGGAGTCGTATCAACATTTGTAAGTGGTAGAGCAAGCTGTATGACCACACATGGTTGTTCAGCTCGATTGGGCCGCTCGAACCGGGAAATACCACACCTCGGCAGAAAACCGGCGTTAAGCGATATCGCTTTCTCATGGTGAGCTGTAGGTTCCGGACGCCCCTCCCCCTCCCCCTATCCCTTTCCTATTTCCTTCCCCTACCCACCCCTTTCTTACATACCATGGCAGCGGATTACAAGAGATTTTTACCCCAGGGTGGTACCAGTAACCATGTTACTGGAGAATCCACCCCTGAGATATCACACTCAGGCTGCCCTGCGTATTCTGGGGTGGGCAATACTCCGCTCAATTTGGCCAAAAGGAAACCGAGCAAATCTCCATCGGCGTTTCCCTTGCTCATAGTCAGTTTTTGCAACATCAGGGGAATTCATTCCAATCTCAACGCCGTTCACCACCACCTAGAGACGGCGAGGCCGACTTTGCTCTTCCTTACGGAGACGTAAATATCCTGTCCCGACGAAATTTCGTACCTGACCTACCCTGGATATAAATTGGAACACCATTTTATTCCACGGGCCGGTGTGTGCGCTTATGTCAGTGAGGATATTTGTTGTCGCCGTCTTGGTACACTTGAAGGTACCTGTCCATTTTATGGTTGCGTGTAGATTGCGATGACCACCCCCGCATCTATGCATGCTTATACAGGTCCTATAGCGGTAACACCGTAACTGACCGACTCATTGAACACGTCCAAATGGCTACAGATTTTTTGCTCCAACAGATTCCCTCCGCTGAGGTCGTGATTCTAGGTGACTTCAACGCCCATCACGCTGAATGGCTCGGTTCACGTACCACCGACTATGCGGGGAGATCTGTTTATGGTTTATGGTCTCTTGCCAAAGCTGCTCAGGGAAATTTCTGTCAGCCATCTTTTCCACCACTACGTAGAGAGGATAACTTAACGAAAAGTTGGCCCAACATGCTAAAGAGAAGGCCGATCTCCTTGGGTCTCTTTTTGCATCCAACTCGACACTGGACGATAGGGAGCATTCACCGCCGGTCATCTCGCGGTGTGAGACTTCTATGCCAGAGGTAAAATTTACCCAAAAGCTGGTACGTAAATCTCTTTTCTCCCTAGATATCCACAAGTCGAGTGGGCCTGACGGTATTCCTGCTATTGTGCTCAGGACGTGTGCACCTGTGTCCTGAGAGTGACCTGAGTTGGCTCCGGTACTAACTCGTCTTTTCCGGTACTGCTACTCTACAGGTGTAGTCCCGAAACTTTGGAAGACGGCTTTGATTCATCCGATCCCTAAGAAGGGAGAACGCTCAGATCCAGCTAACTATAGGCCCATAGCCATCACCTCCTTATTCTCAAAGTTCATGGAGTCGATTGTCAACCGTCAACTCCTACGATACCTAGAAGTGAACCAGTTGATTTCTGATCGTCAGTATGGCTTTCGCCAAGGTCGGTCGGCTAGTGATCTTCTAGCGTATTTGACACATCGATGGGCAGAGGCTATTGAGAATAAGGGGGAGGCCCTATCTGTTAGTCTGGATATTGCGAAGGCCTTTGATCGGGTTTGGCACAAGGCTCTTCTTTCAAAGCTACCATCCTTTGGGTTGCCTGCGAAGTTATGCAAATGGGTCGCCAGCTTTCTCGCTAATCGGAGCATCAAGATCGTTGTCGATGGTGCTTGCTCCGACCCACACTCTGTGAATGCTGGTGTTCCACAAGGCTGTGTGCTATCTCCGACTCTGTTCCTTCTGCATATCAATGACATGTTACAAGTCGACAACATTCATTGCTATGCGGATGACAGTACCGGAGATGCCTTGTACAGCGGCCATGCTAATATGTTGCAGGCAAAAGTTATAGATTACCGGAACAAACTTGTGCCTGAAATCGAAACTTCACTTCATTAAGTTTCGGCTTGGGGTCTGAAAAATTGTGTTCAATTCAACCCCAAGAAGACACAAGTTTGCGCGTTTACCGCTAAAAAGATTCCATTTATCGTATCTCAGTTTGACACTCTCCTTGATGTGAAGCCAAATCTCGAGGTCCTTGGCGTTGATATATCCAGTGACGTTCATTTTTGCGGTCATTTGGAGGACAAGGCTAAAATAGCCTCAAAAAAGCTTGGTATGCTCAGTAGAGTGAGACGGTATTTCACGGCGGCCCATCGCTTGCGATTATACAAGGCGCAGATCCGGCCGCATATGGAATACTGTTCTCATTTCTGGGCGGGAGCATCACAATACCAGCTACTTCCATTTGACCGCATTCAGAACCGAGCAGCCAGAATCATTGGTAATCAACGTCTATGTGACAGACTCGACCCATTGGCTTTGCGGCGAGATATTGCATCTCTGTGCATTTACTACCGCATATATCACGGGGAGTGTTCTGAGGAATTGTTCGGATTAATACCAGCTGCTGAGTTTCACCACCGTACCACCCGCTAGAAACTGAAATACCATCCTGATCATCTGGATGAATGGCGGTCTTCCACAGTACGGTTTTCTAGAAACTTTTTCCTCGCACTACCACATTGTGGAATCACCTTCCAGCAATGGTATTTCCGAACCTTATTCCTTTTTAAAAGGCCGACAACGTACTTGCAATTCCCCTGCGTGTTGCTCATGGGCGGCGGTAATCACTTACCATCAGGTGAGCCGCATGCTCGTTTGTCCGCTGTGTTATAAAAAAAACATTTTAAGAGCATGTGGATGATCCAGCGACGAGAGAGAACTCTTTATTTTGAATGAAAGAATTGTATTGTGGTAACCATTCAAGATACGACTTTTAGAAAAGTCTATCACAGTAAAAGTATGTATTTACTAACTACCATAATTCTAATGTATTTATTTTACGCAACATATATTGCGTTTTATTTCCCCACCTTTTGCAATATTTTTCATTGCAACTCCGCTCCTATTGGTCGTAGCGTGCTGTTATATAGCTTAAAATCTTTCTCGACAAATGGACTATAACACAAATGGAATTTTTAAATTCGTACCAGTAGTTTCTAAGATTGGCGCGTTTAAACAAACAAACTCTTCAGTTTCATAATATTAGTGTAGATAATGATAAGGTGCACCCGGCAGATCTAACAGTATACGTTGACGGGTACCAATAGTTCTTTTTCTTTATTTTTTTAGTAAGTTTCTTATTACAACAAATCATATATTTTTATATACAAAGACTTTCTTCTAAAATTTGTTTTACAACGTCAATCGGCAAAATGATCACCTATGACACCAATTTACTACTTATTTATAAAAAAACAATATTTTGAATCTAGCATTGTAAATAATAATATGTGTTTCCGATATACCATATTTACTCTATGGTGCATATATTGCAGTTACCCTACTAATCAAGCATAAGGAAATAGTATACACAAGTAAAGGTCCTGATACAATATATTTTCTACTACCAGAAAATAAAGGGTCCCAATACTAATTTAAATGATTATGACAATATTATTATTTTATTAGTGTATTTAATGGGAATGGGATTTATTACCAGTTGTGAAATATGTTTATTATTAGAATAAAGCAATAAGAAGTAATTTTGATTTTTAATTACAATATAGGTACAATAGGTAAAATGTGCTACTTAATGTTTAAGAATCTGAATTATATTGTCGAAGCATATTGAAGTAGGAATAAGCAGTGGTCATGATCTGAAAGAAAAATATATTGCTTCAATTTGAATATTTTCTTAAGTAATTTAAATTAAACCCTAATACTATAATAAACTAAATAATATCATGTGAGAGTTTATGTTATTTTTACTGTTTAACTAATAAATCAATTGTCGGAAAGTGAAACAAGTGTACAACACTCTAGTGTTGGTACAACAGGTATTTTTTAAAAATCAAGATTTTATAGAATATTTTTATCCACTTCTGAACATCTCATAATCGATTAACGAGTGTTAATTAATTATTATTTATATATTCTTAAACATCAAAGGCGTGAGTTAGACGCCAAACAATTTTGTGTCAATTTATATTTCTGACATCACTCCCTCTATTTACTGAGTGGCCGGTGATGATTACACTGATAAATAAAAAAATAAACATAAACCTGTGTAATAATATATTAAATAAACGCTATAATTATAAATATTTCACCTGAACACTCATTACCATAATACTACAGGGAACAAGTAAAATAGTGACACCTCATCGAATCATACATAACTCTAGAGGTGATACCCATTAGGTACGCTAAAGTATAATTTATATCAATATATAGGTACTGAGGAAAATGTCTCCAGTTGCAATTGCGGTAGCCCAATAAACTTGATGGTGACAGGTCGTTGCGAGCGTTGCATCACAAGCACCATGTCAGAGCGTATCAGTATGCCGAGACGTGACTTATGCCAGCCACTGTTCCAACACGCGTCGCCCACTGCGAATCCCTGCAAGTATTTTTTTTTTAACTTAGATCTTGTCTTCGCTATTTGATAAGGCGAGATGACGAGATGCTGATATTTATGGAATAATGTGTTAATATTGCCATAAATCAATTAATGGAGAAAACTATAAGAGCAGGCGCTTACAAAAATTGTTTAAAGAATACGTCCTATAATGGAAGCAAATTACTTCAGAGTATCTATAATAGGTATGACATATTTGGCTTACTTTTT